ATCGATATCAACACAAATCGCGCTTATCCTCTGCGTGTCATTGCCAGGCGACGTTGCCACGGCTCCGCTTATTGCTCTCCAGACTTGTACTACCCATGTGTCAACGCTATTCATCAACAACGGACTTCCAGGACTCGAGGGGGAAATTATGCGTTGGATTCCGCGCCATCGTCACACAATAATGACTTTTTCAATGCAAGAATGGAATACTACACGGAGGGTTGGGCAATGACCTTTCCCGTCCAGGTCATTATATTTATTGGCAACTTTGTGCGATCTTCTGACATGGGCCATGAGGGTTCAATCATTGAGAAACAGTGCCGCCTTTTCGGTGAACTTGGAGCATGCCTCTGTTCACCAGATTTTGATCTTGGTTGTAGATCACTTGCCAGCCTAGTGGAATTTGTACAAAGAGCCGGCGCCAGAACTGATTATTGGACGGCGCCTACGTTAGCTACAGGAAAAGTTCTAGGTCTTTATCCCAGGGCCAGGCGACTGTGTGCTTGGCCCGTCTTCTGTGTTGCCACGGTCAAAGCTCTTGGAGAAGATCACCAAACCACTTGCTGATCGCGTTCGCGCAAGACAAGGTGATGGCAAACTTACAGCCCCCTAGGATGCTCAATGTAGGCACCTCGCTGACATGCACCACCTCACCAACACGCTTCCGCTACGGTTCAGGCAAGGAACTGGCCTAATTCTGAGCCTCTCACGCTGGGTCGATGGAGATATTTCCCCCTTAGGTTGTACACCGCGATGATATCCTGGGAAGACTACAGCAAGTGTCTGCGCATGTTCCCCCAAAGAGCAGTAAGGACACTCTCGCAAACGCCACTGCAGACCTCGCGAAGACCATTCTTGATCAAGGCCACCTTGCGCCTGCTACATCACAAAATCAGCCAATACTGTGGAATTATGATCACACACTGCGGCTCTACCCACCACCCAGCACTATTTGCCTTGGTGATGATACGGCGCCTGCTTTCGACACGACATACGCCATGACAAGGGTTTTCAACCCTGGCAATTTTACAACTGAAGGCACGTTTGTGCTCTTTCACCCGGACTCCGGTGAAGTTGAAGCCAGCAGAGTGCTACTATAAATGGCAGAGATAGGAGCGAGCGCTCGGCTGGAGGAGGAATTTGCATCACTTCAGTCTATACTAACCCCACCGCACCAACTTGAGCTCGGGGCCCTGGCGCCTGGTAGGTGGGAATACTTTCCAACCACACGGTGCCGCGGTTGGTAAAATGCGGGGCCGTGGCTGAGTTCCAGACAGGTCGAGGCGGCTTTTGGCTACAGCCTGAGAGCGGCCCCGCCTGACCTTGAAAGCACCCTTGTGGTGAATTTG